GTCTGCGGCTCTTCCTCCTGTCCCCCCAGGTCAGTCCCACAGACCGTTGCACCTAAGCACACATTTTTCTGGACTGGTCCCAGCATGCAATACCGTGTTGCTTATTCAGTGATCCAGACCATGAAATCTCTGGAAAAGTGCCACAGTTCTGGCTGAAACAATGGCAGTCAAAATTTGTTGGATTTGAAGATATTCCAGGTGTGTTTAGTTTCAGCTGTGAGTGGGCCTTTATGATCAATGTTTTGTATTTTAACTTTTCATCTACGACTGCACGTTATTTAATAAATACAAAGAATGCTAAATCAAGACAACAGAGGAACCATGATGGAAAAATACTCGAGGTACCTGTAGAGTCTAAAAGGCAGGTGAATGCTGAAAGATGGGTTGATAAAAATGTTATCACCAGCGGTCCTTTCTCCGCCTAACTTTGCTCTCATCCTCCAGGCCTTGCAAGGAGCTTCTTCTGTCAACACAACTGGGTTGACCACATCTGTCATGGCTTCAGCCCCAGCATACATGAATGTGAAGGCGGAAGAAGCCAAGTGCCCCATTCACAAGGGGCATCTGACAGTCCCCGTGACCCCGAACTGCGGCCATCACTTCTGCTGTGTCTGCATCTCCACCTTCTGTGAGCTACGGAAAGAGATCGGGACCTTGAAACGTCCCATCTGCAAAGCCAGGAGGAAAACTCAACGTTTAACCTCCTCTTTCATCTCCAGCAGTTTTTGAGTCTTAATGTTTTGTCAGTGAAGCGAGGGAAGGGCCGAGGGGCACCTTGTTGGGCTGTGCTTAGGGCATCGGTGGGCTGAATCCGGCTCTGCTTTGGCACCAGAAGGCTGAGATCTCATCCCCAAAGATCAGCATTGTCAGAGCTGAGTCGAGGGTGAACCTCAGAAACAGCAAGAAGGTCCTTTGAATCTTCCCCTTCTTACCAACTTATCAGAGACTGTAAGTTTCACTCTCTTCCTTACAGGGTTAGAGTTTTGTTTTCGCTTTTTTAATCTTTTCTGCCTTCCAGTCAGTCTTGATGCCTGGCGACTGCCTGGACCAGTCCCTGCAGTTTTCTTGGCAAGATTTCGGAAGTGGTTTTCCCTTGCCTGCTTCCTAGGGCTGAGAGAGAGGGGCTGGCCCAAGGTCACCCAGCTGGCTTCATGCCCAAGGCAGGACTAGAACTCCCGGTCTCCCGGTTTCTCGCCTGGCGCTTTCACCGCTACACGAACCCGCCTTCTTCTTTATAGTCACTCGCTCAGTAGAAGGCCAAAAGAAGCTCAAGGCGAGAGGGAAAAAGAGGGCTGTTGCCCTCTTGTCCAGTCTGACAGTACAGTTGATAACTGCTTTCATTTTGACAACAATTCTATTAAAAATGGGATCTGAATTCAGGCTTCCGCCAGGTGACTTATAGTCCTCACAGCTCCTAGCTTGATAATGTGTGCTGTGTTTTATTTTTGGTGTTGTCTGTCTACCATCATCCTATTTCTCTGTGTTACGTTGAGTGGTCATTGATTGCTTATTTCTTGATTTTATTTCGGTCATACACCAGCATAAAACTAATACCGGTCACTCTAAAGTAGAAATAAAAATAAAAAGTCATCTTGGTAGAATAAAATAAGGTAAAAATTAATTTATTAAGGTAAATTTACAAAGCAAGGAATTAAAACCCAGGAGAGACCTATAAAGTTACAATCAATTTTGCATTCAATAATCTGAATGCTATAGAGAACTGAGACATACGTAGTACGAGGATTTGTAAAACACTACGAGACTGTAAAGCTATGCTTACATTGACTCTAATACTTGTTGAAGCCCTCCCAGGGTTTGTTGGGATAATGACAATTATGACCCAATCAACTACAACAAAGAAATAGCAAAATAAAACACAGAATGGCATGGGCATATTTAAAAGGAAAAAGGAAAATAAAAAAAGGGGGGTGGGAATGAAAGAAAAAAAAGGAGGGAAAGATTACAGAATATACTGAGTTATGGAACCTGGGTAATCACTGATTGCAATGAACAATAAACGAACAAACATGATACCTAAATGGGAGGCAGAGCTGTGATGGACATTTAAACCACAATGCAGAAGCCATAAGAAAAGGTATCCTTAACACTGACACGCCTGCAGCACACCTCGTCCTTTTCATCCGGAGAATCAAACCCACAGAAATGATGGCACGGTTGTACCTGATATAGATTGATTGATTCATTGACTCATTGATTGATTTGCTTCAATTTACAAGGCCACCTAATTGCAAGCAACTCACTGTGGCATGCAACACTAAAGGAAGGTGTGAGGGCAAAAAAGTTA